CAAATATACTGACTTTTTGATTGAAACATTTTTAAACATTTAAACTGAGCTACTTTTATCCTGCATATTTTGAGGGAGGTACAGAAAGTGCTTGTGATACAGTTGATGTCTGTCTATCCCAAAGAGCAGGTAAATCTATGCTAAGTATCTTAGATGTGGGTAGAATTGTAGGGCTATAGATAACTAGAAGTAGAGCTGACAGTCTTTGGAGCTTTCTGAGAAAAAGTTAGGATTGGTCAAACCTGACTGTAAATAATACATATCTTGTCAATATAATAATCAATTAAACAAGTCTAATAAGCAACTTTGATGATAATGACTCGAGAGTTTTTGTAACATTTTATTACACAGCAATAATAAATTGAACACTCTGTATATACCCATAACTGTTATTATGTCTTAGGATTAAAAACAACAACATTGGTTTTATTTTTGAATGTTTGTTTTCTTTTCTTTCCTTTTATTTTTTTTTCTTTTCTTTTTTCTTTTCTTTTTTTTCCAGATGACACGTGAACAATACATACTAGCAACACAGCAGAATAACCTGCCAAGGGCTGAGAATGCACAGCTTTACCCAGTGGGAATTTATGGATGGCGAAAGAGGTGCTTATACTTCTTTGTCCTTCTGCTGTTGGTTACCATGATAGTTAACTTAGCCATGACAATATGGATATTGAAAGTTATGAATTTCACTGTGGTAAGTACCACCATGATTTTAACCTACTGCTTTTGGTTCAAAGACAATCCAGCTCTGTTGTTTCTATTATTTTAATTGAAAGTTATTCGCCTTAATTTTTACTTAAGTACATGTCTTTAAATTCCAAGGATGATCATTTTAAGTATACATTCAGTATGTTCGGTCATGACACATATACGATATTACTCCATGCCATTTGAGTGTGGGAAATTTAGGTCATGAGAGGGCATAGCCTATCAATTCATTAGAAGATTAGAAAACATTTAACCAATAAGCATAAATTCTTGCTTGTTATACCTGGGAATCTAAGGGATAAAATCTGTTTTTAAAGATGATATTTCACATCAATTTAATGTTACAAACCAGAGATGACTTTGAAACAAAATATGTAGAGCATTTACCTCTAGATCTGCTTTTTTATGTAACAGACTACATGGGTGAGGTTAAACCCTGGGAGTTCTCTCAGACTGCATGGGCCAAGTGTCTGTTATCAGCCTGTCAGAGCACAAACCCAGAAAATAGAAGAAAAATCTGAAATTAAATAATTCTTTAATGAAAATCAATAAACTGATAGCTGCATTTGATTATGTAATTCTTGGTTTGTCATTATGAAGAATCTTGATTGTTGAATATTGCTTCAGCTTACTGAATGTGTACAATAAACCTATAGGCATGGCTTATCTGGAAAAAA